GACATTTACATTATTAAAAGCCATTTTTAAAAATATTTCAACAATGAAGGTTTTATTTTTAACTCAGTATACAATTTTGAAATAAGTATTTAATAAAAGGGATATTTATCGTGTATGATAAAATATGCACTTGTTCTCACGCGGACAATATAGCACTCCCTACGGTCGTGCAAGATTATCGCTGCTGTGTATGATATATGGCATTTCACGACAAAAATATAACGAAACCAGACTACACTTTAGAAATTGAGCAAAACATATTTTCATCAAATGAAATGTTTTAGGGTAATGCATCAAAAGTTTTTGCGACAAGGTGTAATGTATTAGGTATTGCGTCATATTTTTTTTCGAGAAAGTGAAATGTATCACCTATTGCGTCTACATGTTTTTCGAAAAAAACATTTTATTTATTTCTCGTCAAAATATTACTCGTCATGTGCAATGTTTCTGTTTTTTGCAACAAAAAATTTGGCCAATTAGCTAAATTTTTCTCGTTTATGCGAATTATTTTTTGCGAAAACACTGACAATATCATGCCTTTGCGCCTTATTTTTTTCCACTTGCGTAAATCTTCTCACATAAGATCGCGTAAGAGGTGACCATTTGAAGCTTCCGTATCGGAGAGCATATCGAGAAAAGTTCAGTTGCAATGCCTTAAATCTTCTCATCTTTGTCAGTAAATTTTATTGAGACATTCGAAAACATCTTATAAATGCGAATAAAAAAAGTTAACTTAGCGTAAAACATCTTATCAACTGTAGGCCCTGATAAGCTTCCGTACCATTAACAAGTTAATTTACAAAATTTTTGGAATCATGAAAATTGAAGCGTACACCAAAACAAGTTCGGTCACAGTGTAAATGATATACTGTTGGTGATGTGGGTTTTAATTCACCAATAAAACCCAGTATCTCTCCAGTTAGCATTTTAATAGAAAATATTGTATGAAATTGGGCATTTTATATGTTTCGTTGTGTGAACAGTACTGAGTGATGCTGAGAGAAATTGTATGTCGACATATATTTTGACAAATACTTAATCACATTATATTGTAGCTTTCATGATAATTTGTAAACATGTTTAAATCAACTTTATTCTTGATTACTAAGACATGTACTGCAGATTTGAAAATGCTCATTGAATCCATTACTACTACATATATAACGAGGAATTCTTCTTTTAACATTATTTCATTTAAAGAATTGATTCTATGCTTAAATTGGAATATTGAAATTATCGATTATTTTATAGGTTTCAAAGTCTGGTCTTCCTGTATCACAGTGCCGAGAACTATACAGGGGTCTACAGACATGCTTGGATGTTGACGAAGATACATTCCTCCGTGAATGTGTCTTGTGGAGGACGTGGTGGACTGATCCAACACTAGCTGCCCAACGAGAAACGACTCCAGAAAACTTAACGGATTCATTAAAAGTTACAAGTGAAGCATTGTATCCAAATATCAGGAAATGCTTGGCACTTCTTATGGTAGTGCCGGTCTCTACCGCTACTGCAGAGAGATCGTTCTCTACAATGCGTAGAGTTAAATCATACCTCAGGTCAACCATGACGACTGAGAGGCTGTCCGGCTTGGGACTTCTGAACATTTACCAGGAAAAGAAGCTTGATGCTGAACGTATTGTCGATATTTTTGCGGCTAAAAAAGAAAGAAGACTGGCTTTGATATTTAAAGTGTAGATTATAACAGAGATGTAAATGAATAAATAAATAAATAAAAACATAAAAATTATAATAAAAAAGAATGAATGAATAAATATATAGTAAATAGTAATGAAGAAGGAATACAATCTAATCGTTTGTTGTAATACGTTTAATACTTTGAGTTTTTTATATTGGTTAAGCTTTAGTCAGGGAAAGACATTTGAGAAGCTATTTTATGGCATTTCAGCCTTTTAAAATGATGCTTAATCAATTTTTTTCGGGGACCTCCGGCCCCCTGAACCCTGGCCAGGGCTTTGCCCTGGACCCACCGGGGGCCCTAGCGGCCCCCTGGCCCCCAACTTTTATGGGCGTATTCTTCAAATACCTCCAGGTACGCCCCTGAAATGTCCTAAAATGTAGTGTGTATCTTGTTCTTTAAAGCATATTTCCATGTTCCAAGAAAATAACTGTGCTAAAATAATAAAACAATTCACTGCAATAACTCTAAGCTGTAACTTCTTTTGTTTAGCGCAGTGTATGTACGCGTAGCCGTTGAACGTCTGACGTCATTTTCTTTACGCGGGTCTGTTTCCAATGCCTTAATACAAATATCAACAAGTAAAAAATTGCTGGGAAATGCAGCAATGTGATTGTCACGGCAAAAAACAAGAAAAAATACAAAAACAAACAAACAGTTAAGTATAATGTTAAGGTATCTCCAAATAGCATTGTGTTGAATTGACAGGTTAACTTGTTAAGAAGGTTTTAAAGTATTATAATGTAACTTGTTACAAGAGCCATGTATATGTAGTAGAGCAGAATAATTTATCATTCTTGTGTACTGCATACCTCTTGAGTGAGATCTATCCACATATGTAGTTATACTCTGGACAAAAATTAAGTATGAAAAGTAACAAAGGGCAATACCTGAATAATAATGCACGGTAGGTTAAAAGTCTTGTGTGCCGCACTCCTCCTCAATGAGATCTATCCACCTATGAAGTTTCACGTTGATACCTCTAACACTGTTTGAGATAAGCTCCGGACAAAAAGTTTGAAAAATAACAAAGGGCAATAACTCAAAAATTATAAAGGGTATCATTCTTGCGCACAACATTCCTCCTCAATAAGATCAATCCACCAATGAAGTTTCATGTTGACATCTCAAAGACCTTTTGAGTTATGCTCCTCTCAGGTGAAAAATTAAGTATGAAAAAATACAAAGGACAATAACTCAAAAACTATGAAGGATAGAGTTATCACTCTTTTGCACTGCACACCTCATGAGTGAGATCTATCTACCTATGAAGTTTCATGTTGATATCTCAAAGGCTTTTGTAGTTATGAAATAGATAAATACAGAATCCCTAAAGAAAGCCCAACATGACAAAATTGAAAATGTTGCAGGCTCGGTTTGATTGAGCCTGTTCATGGACGGTACTGGAAAGTGCAAGTTACCGTCCACGCCCCCTAGCACCGGCTTAAGCAGAATTCAACATTTAAACATGAAATGGTGAAATTTTGAATTTAGAAACATCCGCAGATGTATTCATACGGCGGTTATCATGGAACCTTCAACATGACACTTCCGTGCCATTCCATGAAAAGCGGCGTATGGTCCCCAAGTAATAGAAAGCGTGTGCCCTAAACGAGAAAACAATGGGCGGAACTAAATAAAATGGAATTTTGAAAGGGGATCAGAGGTTATGAAGCCTGCATATCACAGATAAGACGTCAAAAGACAAATATAAAAAGCAGGCAACATATCCTTAGGGTGATTCAACATTATTCAAGTAGGAATATTGGAACCACCCAACTAGAAAATGCCGAAAAGTTGAAACTAAAAATACCACAAGCACAACAATAATGTCGTGCTAAACGATCTTCAAGTATCGAAAATGTAACATCATTGATTAAATGTACGGGGAGACTTTTTACAGCCGCCACACGGCACAAATAACACGGATGTGATCATAAAATAGATAAATACAGAATCCCTAAAGAAAGCCCAACATGACAAAATTGAAAATGTTGCAGGCTCGGTTTGATTGAGCCTGAAGTTGTAACAATTTTTGAGATAAGCTCCAGACAAAAAGTATGAAAAATAACAGAGGACAATAACTCAAAAATTATAATGGATAAAGTTATCATTTTTGTGCACAACATTCCTCCTTAATAAGATCTATCCACCTATGAAGTTTCATGTTGACATCTCAAATATTTTTTTGGGTTATGCTCCACTCTGGTGAAAAATTTAGTATGAAAAGTAACAAAGGGCAATAACTCAAAAAATATGAAGGGTAGAGTTATCACTCTTATGCACTGCACACCTCCTGAGTAAGATCTATCCACCTATGAAGGTTCATGTTGATATCTCAAAGGCCTTTGTAATTATACTCTGGGACAAAAATTAAGTATGAAAAATAACAAAGGGCAATAACTGAAAAACAATGCACGGTAGGTTATCATTCTTGTGTGCTGCACTCCTCCTCAATGAGATCTATCCACCTATGAAGTTTCAAGTTATTTCCTCTAACACTTTTGAGATAAGCTCCGGACAAAAAGTATGAAAAATAACAAATGTCAATAACTCAAAAATTATAAAGGGTAGAATTAACATTCTTGTGCACAACATTCCTCCTTAATAAGATCTATCCACGTCCTATGAAGTTTCATGTTGACATTTCAAAAGCTTTTTTAGAGATATGCTCCACTCAGATGAAAAATTTAGTATGAAAAATAACAAAGGGCAATAACTCAAAAATTATGAAGGGTAGAGTTATCACTCTTATGCACTGCACACCTCCTGAGTGAGATCTATACACCTATGAAGTTTCATGTTGATATCTCAAAGGCTTTTGTAGTTATACTCTGGGACAAAAATTTAGTATGAAAAATAACGAAGGGCAATAACTGAAAAATTATGCACGGTCGGTTTTCATTTTTGTGTGCAGCACTCCTCCTCAATGAGATCTATCCACCTATGAAGTTTCAAGGTGTTACCTCTAACACTTTTTGAGATATGCTCCTGACAAAAAGTATGAAAAATAACAAATGTCAATAACTCAAAAATTATAATGGGTACAGTTATCATTCTTTTGTACAACATTCCTTTCCTCCTCAATAAGATATATCCACCTATGAAGTTTCATATTGACATCTCAAAGTTTTTTTTAGTTATGCTCCACTCAGGTGAAAAATAAAGTATGCAAAATTACAAAGGGCAATTTCTCAAAAACTATGAAGGGTAGAGTTATCACTTTATTTTGCACTGCACATCTCCTGAGTGAGATCTATCCACCTATGAAGTTTTATGTTGATATCTTAAAGGCTTTTTGAGTGCAGAGTGCCAGTTCTTGTGCATTGCACTTCGGGTCATTTTAAGAAGCATGCAGTCAATCTGACTTATAATGACTGACTTACGCTCTGGTCAAGCTTAAGGGGAAACCGACAAAAGTAACCCGTATATGTTGCCTTTTTCAAGGCGGCTAAATAAAACTGCTGGACATCATTTACATCAGTCATTTGGTAAAAAGAGGGAGGGCTGCAATAGAAAGGAAAGGGGAACAAAGTTGGGAAATCTATGCATACAATGCCTACAGAGGTTGAGGGCAGTCAGGAAAGCTCGCCTAAGAAGAAATAGCAATAAATATAGCCATTCTTGGTTTTCATCCAAAGCAGCACTTCAAGTTCTTTAAATTGCCTGTTATCAGCATAAGGTAGTAATGCCACCTTCTATCACCAAAGCTCATTTCATTAACATTCTGAATATCAAAAAAATAATATTATTGGATGAATCCTGTTGCAGGATACCTATAGGTATGGACTAATTGAAATCAACTCTGAAGTATATTATACAGCCAGTCACACAAAATATCCATTATTCCATACTATTTATTAATAAAAAATAATGAGAAAGTTTCTGTATAGCCTGATAAGCACACTGCCAATAACCTAATTGTTTATAAACAGCTAGAATAGTCTGTCTGAGATAGACAGAAAAGGACAAACAATTTGGTAAACATGAGTTGCTTCCCCTTAAACTAGAGACAAAATGGAATTTATTGTTAAATACATGCATGTAACATGCTTGAGCTCAATGAAGTGTCTAGTATTTACTGTATTAATTTGAATAACTTAATATAGGGAAATTGACACATTTCTAGGGATATTTTTTTTATATTTTTGGGGTGCCCTTGCTTTACTGGCCCTTGCATTACTGAAGCTAGATAGGTTAACACAATTATGATGCACTCTCATCTTTAATCCAGGAGTTCTGCACATACCATTTTGGGTTTTAAAGGTATATTTGAGCTAATAATTCTTTTTTTCTGTACTAATTGTGGAGGTGGTGGGAATGTGAGATGGCCTGAGATAGCTTAGTCAGTACAGCCCCCATATGGTGTTCTGATTGTCCCGGGTTTGATATCGGGGCAAAATGTAGAGCCATGGTGGTATATAGCTGAGACGTGTTCTCTATACTCATAAAAAAATCATGGAGTTCAATATGGCAGGGTATTAACTGTTCAATGATTAGGGAAGGGGATATTGAAGAAACTTTATAGCTCAGTTGGTAGAGCTTCGGAATGGTAGTCAAAGTGTCCATGCAAGCCTTTAAGGTTTGAGCCCAAGTCAGACTGCACAGTTACTTTCGGGCCAAGACTGTATAAAGAGACAACTCACTATGTCAGTTCATCAATTATTTAAGGAGATATTTCAATAAAGTGGATGTCTATGTTCATGTATAGTGCGGATCACATATTAATTAAGAGAAAAATGTTTATATGGTAGAGCTGCAGTACGGTATTCAAAGGGTTCTGGGTTCATACGGTAGTACAGTGAGTACTGGTGAGGCATGATATTCTTGGGGTCTTTGTTTTGAGTCTCAGTCAGGCTGCATATTTTAATTACTTTGTGATTAATAAATGTTTCCAGCTAATTATTTGCTTGTCTGCATTTATTATAGATCATGTCTTATGTTAATAGTGAAATATAGATTAAATAGTCCTATGCGATGAATAACTTTAAGACCGGCA